CCATGTCCATCTTTGGCAACTCCAACTTCCAAGCCATAGGCGCTCTCAAGGGCATGGTTCGCTTCACCACCGCCGCATCCCCAGCTCCCATGTACGGTTGGGAACAGCCTGCAGCACAGAAACAACCGCCGGTTGACGAATGCTCCAGCCGGAGTTCTGACCAACAAGCACCAATTCCCGATATACCGGACATTCATATTACTACTGAGATGCATGAGGCCCTCGACCGCACATACCATGACCTGCGAGGTTCAGAACCGCGACTATCCAAAGCCAAGTTTGCCGAGTTCTTACGAACTGTCCAGGGCGAGAGTGAGAGCGCCGTAAGCGAACTTGCTAAGGAGGATTATTCCTTGGGAGATTTCAAATACACTTGGGTTACCGACTTCTCATGGGAGGCCACCGGGCCCTTGCCGGAAAAAGATCTGTCAAAACCTCTCACAAATTATTTTATTAGCAGCAGTCACAACACTTATCTGGTTGGGAATCAACTGGCTTCACTAAGCAGAAGCTCCCCTGAAGCATACAGAACAGTACGTTTATTCGATGTAATCCCACAAGCACTTTGGAGGATTCCTTAGCTGACACTGGTTGCCAATAGGTTCTTCTTCGAGGATGCCGCTGTATCGAGATTGATGTGTGGAATGGGGATACAATTATTCCTACAACGAGAGGCAGAGCCACCAAGATTGACCATAAGCGTGGACTCTCAGGAGAATCGTTCCCCAATGTCGCTACCACGGTGATCGACAAAGTTGAAGGCTATCTTGGTGACAAAACCGCCAATCGCTCCCGCAGTACCAGCCTAGGAAGCCGAAATTCCTCCCCACGATCGAGTTTGAATCAAGTTCCGCTCGAGACACGAGAATCTGGAGACCGTCTGGACGTTGCGAAACCTCTTGCACCACGCACAAGACAGTCGTTCCCCAAAGACGAGCCAATTGTGACCCATGGATGGACTCTGACTGCGCCGTGTGGGTTTCGAGAGGTGTGCAGAGCCGTTGGCGAGTCTGCATTCGTCGACAACGACCTTCCAATTATAGTCAGCCTAGAGGTGCACGCTGACGAGGACCAGCAAGAGGTCATGGTCAAAATCATGAAAGAGGAATGGGGTGAGATGCTTGTGGATAAAGCATTCGATGATACTGGCCCGAGATTGCAACTCCCGAAATTAGGCGAGCTGCGAAAGAGAATTCTCGTCAAGGTCAAGAAGGCTCCTGCAAAGATCGTGGTGCCGCCCAGCACTATGGATCTACCTGCTATTTACGCACACGACGAGGATGCATCAGGGTCTGAGGATGAGCATCCCTCGCAGTCCACAGGACCATCCCTGACAGGTTCTAACAGTACGTTTCCTTCACACGAGAAGAACGCCAGCTCCAAGGTCCGGATATGTGAGAACCTTGGCAAACTTGCTGTGTACACACGCAGCCAGCACTACAAGGGTCTCGCAACTAAGGAAGCCAAAATCCCTGCCCACATTTTTTCTATCAGCGAGAATCGCATCCTAGAACTTCACCAGAAGCAGCATCGCGACATGTTTACCCATAACAAGGGATACTTCATGCGCGCTTTCCCTGCAGGTCGAAGGTTCGATAGCTCAAATCCAGACCCAAGTCTCTTTTGGCGTGGCGGTGTTCAGATGGTTGCCATGAATTGGCAGTATCTGGATGAAGGCATGATGCTCAACGAAGGCATGTTTGCAGATGAGAAAGGTTGGGTCCTGAAACCGGAGGGTTATCAAAGTTCAAACAAGTCTGCAGAGACTCAGGGCGAAGCCACACCAGGTCGTACCATGAATCTGAGGATCATAGTTTTTGCTGGACAACACATTCCGATCCAAGCTGGCGACGCAGCAGACGTCGGCCGCTCAGCCAGCACCCTTAGACCGTTGATAAAGGCAGAGCTCCATGTCGACAAACCAACCGACGCTGAACGTGACGCATATATGCAGGAGCACAAGTACAAAGATAAAACAGACGTTGGTAAGACGGACCACCCCGATTTCGGCCCTCACGGTTCGATCCTCCAGTTCTTGAACATTCCCAAGGTGGTCGAAGAGCTCAGTTTCATCAGGTTAGTGGACAACTTTTTCAATTCTGTCGTGTATCGGTATCCCACCCTCCCACCCCCTGCTCTCGGACCGTCTCCTTTGTCTTGCCAATCACAGGTGTGTCGTGGAAACACTGCAGTGAGTCTTTTACGATCAAAGAGCTTACACTATGGCGGTGAGCTCTTTTCTGTCCTATCGTAATGGCTATTATCCGTTCGCTTCCTTGGGTATCAAGGACCAGCTGCTTTTCAAGACACACTTTGGCCCAGGACACAGACCTCCAGTTCGGTCTGAGCGAGTTGCAGATCACAGATCCAAATACGGTTAAATCATGTTTGATCATCGGGTTGCTATTTGCTGTTTCCCACACTATCGAGGCTGGGGATGGTCATTTCTGGTGCACCGTGATGGTGACTCGTGCCATTCGCCTCACCTCACCTCGCCATTCTTAAGGCCTGCCAGCTAGCGGGGCGGGGCGGGACGCAAAGCTTGTTGGTCGGCAACTCTTGCTTTATATCGTACTAATTCGATGAATTCTCTAGGTTCAAGGTTGAGGATGATTCAACCAAGCTTGGCAGCTCGCCACTGCTTGCCTGGGCTTGCATCCGCCTAGACCGTCTGCGACCCGGCTATCGATTTATCCGACTCATGGACTCGAAGCCCCGCGTTGTACCAGGGGGGAAGCTGCTGGTTAAAATTGAGAAGACCTTGGTTTGATCGATAGTATAGTTCATCCTTGCGAATGATGCTGTACATCAGATCCCAAGCGCATTACTCGTGTACTGTGGCAACTTCCTACTGTGGTGCAACCCGCGTCACGCACTAACTGACCATAGGTCTTTAGCTGCCAGCATATCTCATTTTCGTCATCTTGAGGTTTAGCTCCGTCAAGTCTCTTAGACACTTTCGGCCTCTGTGGAAATGTGTCAAATCACGATCAGATCGTATACGCGGATGAGCTCGCATCTTGCAGAGGGTTTGAGTCACTGGCACCCATTTTGTTTTCTGTGGTAGTGCTTTATTGGACTGATAACGGTATAGCTGGGATTTTGGTTGGATTTAGACAGGAGTTTTGGGATACCCAGGAACAATGAATGTTTTGTGCCATTTCTCTTTGCCCTCAAGACATCCGCCGTTTGTCGTGGCCAGTGTTGAGTCGAATTGACACTGCTCGTCTGGCTATTTGCCAGTCGAGGAACGTCTTTGTTCACCCGTATGACAGAGCTGTGCAGGCAACTTGGACCTCGTCTGAGCACTTTCTCACCCGCTGCAGCCTCGAGTGACATTGCATGCATGAAGAACGCACAACACCTGGTCAGGAGCTTGGTGTGCGAGCCTAGTGGCACTTAACATGCATTACAGGTAAACTACTGTATATACGTTGTGAGGACACTGCCCGCTCACAAACCATGAATCGGTTGACGTTTGCTATATTTGAAACGTGCTCGTCCGTGTATCCAGAAAAGAGCAGCTTCACAGCTCGCTGTTGTGCAAGTCAAAACCTCTTTGGGAACTTTCTGATATTGTGAGTTCAGCGCCCTGGCCTTCCTAGGTGCTCTGGCCCTACAAGGAAATAAGCATGGCCGAGTCGTTGATTGACCAGTGTCGAAGCGCTGATATGCCCGGTTGCCAACAGAATACGGCAGTAAAAGTAGTAGCGATGCTGCTCATCTTCAACAAGCTGCCGGTGCCAACCCTGCGCCCCTCCATTCTTGTCTTCAGGATCCCTAGCGCAGTAGGAGGGACCTCACTAATCGTTCATCAGATGGGATGCAGTTTGTTTAGTCTGTGGTACGAAGCCTGACTCGTATAGTCGTCTATATTTTGCAGAGGATGGCCAGTTCTAGTGAGTGCCAAGCGTTATCCACATTGAAGAATTTCGAGGCCATAGTGTTGACAATGGTGATAATGGTAGCTCTGAGAGCTGGGCGCTCGCACTCTCAGTGCATATGTAAGTTAAGTCTGGGCGTATGATAACGAGAGATTGTGCAAATATTACCATGTGGCCATGCATTCAACTTGCACATCTTCGAATCTAGTTAATGTCCTGAAGAAAGGGCTGAAGAGGCCGGAAAGTCCAATCGGGCACAAGCGGTACTAGTTTAGTTCATCTGGAGACGATTTGAGCACAGGTACATACAGTAGAGATAGCCATATGCAAGCCCATGGGGACAAGATCGATAGTCGCCGCGGCTACTCCGTAGATGCGACCAATTTGCAGAGTGATTGTTGGTGACAGAGATGCACGATGGAACTGGTGCACAAGGTTTGCTACCTGTCACTGGCCCAAATACTCGAACAACATAACGGTACTCTAGATTCTATGCATCTCGTTGCGCCGTGGCCCGATCTGTCCATCGCAAACTAGGCTTGACTTGGAATACACATGGTTTCTTCTCGGATATGCGCCGTGTCCTTTGCTCGCAGCAACAGAAGTTGATGTCCGGACAAAATAGCCTCAGTCGACTGACCACAAACGATAGAGCCTGGACCTATCGCATTCCAAGTTGCTTGGCCGTTGATTAAAGTCATTGACCCGTCATTGAGCAGCTAGATAAATGCAGTTGATCACCTTGTCCGTGTACTGTTGCGGATCCTTTAGAATGTCGGACATTGTCCTCCTTTTTGCAATCACGATCAATTGTCAGTGCGTATTGCATGTACTTCGTAGCTATTAGAGACTCTAGGCGAACACGTTCCACATTCAACCCTTTGGGCTCGATTGGAGAACTTGTTGGTCCACGCTCCATCGTGTCAAATGCCTGAGCTCTCCATATCGTGGCTGAGGCCCCTCTCTTTCCACAATACAGCAGCACACACTACATCTCATGCGAGGTTCAACGGGCTTGTCTCAGCAAGGGAAGAGCTTTATGGGTCCAGCTGTGGCAGTCTACGGAGCTAGTTGTTGATAATGTTTTGTGGCTGCAGTCTCAACGGTCCCGTGATAATGCCTACCTGTGGCAACCTGCTGTGGTGTGGAGTCCTTACGAGGCTTGGTTGTTGGGTTATCTTGACCAAAAATGACGAATTTGCCCAGGTTAGGTTTACATACTTACATACCCAGTACTACATGCCTTATGTTGGCTAAGTCTAACTTAGGTACCTGACGCACCTAAGCCCTGCTTTGGAGTGGGTCAACGATCAGTCTACTCCGTAGGTGCGTCCTTAAACGGAGTGGACAGAAGCGCAGGGTAGAAGCCACTTCCGTGTCTAGGTAGGGAAGAAAACACGAGACTGAATTGATAAATGGGTGGATTTTGGTGTAGGACAGTTTCATGTGTACCCCTGGCCCCCTAGGCGTATTACTAACGCCTACAGCAAGCATTTTGTTTTATATATTACATTTTGAAATAGGATGCCACCCGAGGCGGTACGGTGGATGGCTACAAGTGCCAGCCAGTTTACCTAGAACACTTGCAGTATGCCGCGGTAGTCGACTGAAGGGGTTCGTAAAGGAGAACCGGCCATGACCTGTTTGCGGCTGGCTGGGCACACCTGTCAGAAACGATAACCCACCATTAAGGACTGGTCATTTTCGCACTGACTGGCGAAGGACCGATGTGTAGACACGAGGAGTGGAGCACGAAAAAGCAACATGAAGTTAAAAGCTAATGAGGTAGCTGGGTAGGTAAGGAGGTATGTAGGAGAGGTATTATACAATTTAGCTATACGCGTCAAGATCATGCATGCATTGGTCAATAAAGCAAAAGTAAAATCTGATTCGGCTGTTATACGCTATCCGCGCAAATAGCCCTGACTAGGTACATGGTTCAAGGCCAGACGTCGAGAGGGCCCAATCTAGTGGCCAATCTTTGGTACTTTTCAGCTTGGTCGGAACTCAGCTCCTAAATCTGGCAAAGTCTCTAGCGGTGAGTCGTTTGGGGAAACGCCCAACGTGAAACCGACTTATAACGCCAAGTCTGGTGTTTTGAGCAGTCAAAGTAATTATGGCTCGAGCTATTTTCTTGTTGATTGCTGATCTTATACATGGACTCTGAACCAGGTCCAAAGGAGGTGAGTAAGTGCATATCAATCAGTTCTTATGGAGATCGATCGACTCCGGAAGTGGCGCATGCAGCTGCGTCTGCCTGTAGATTTTGTTTCGAGTACTGCATTGTCTGGTCTCTTTTGGTCAATGTCGTCAGAGATAATCCATGTTACTAAGTCGTGCAGAAGTAAAGGCGACTCTAGCCACTGGAGAATTCACAAAAATAACAGATAACCAGGGCCAAAGCGGAAATGGCAATGTGTGTTAGACGAACGCTGAAAAGAAGAAACGAACGCAACTGACGAATTTCACAACGAAAGCCAACATATCTCCCATCCCACACCTCCTGGAAGCTGATCGATCGCGGCTTATCTGGGGGCGCTACGGCGATCGTAGCCAACGAGATGGGTTTTGATAGCTCGTAGAACTTGGATATCTTGGCCGAGGTTGTTGAAACCCATATTCTAGGTGTGCCGCTGGCGCATCGTACCTAGGGTAAAATTCTTACTCTATAGTCTATGTAAACGTTAATGGCGTCAGCGCTGAGACTGTCTGTTTACAAAAAAGCAATTCCCAGTTAGAACTATCGCTCGAGCGCAAGTCACAAATTGGTGAATAGCTTTGTTAGCTTCGATGGTGCCATCAGCTCAATTTGTGGGCGGCAATATCGCTTACTGTTGCAAAAATCGGTACTTGATATGCATTTGCCAACGGAAATAGCCAAATCAGCACAGGGCAAGGGAATGGAGAAGGGAGATCTCATACTAAAATTGAGTTTGAGTTCAAGATTAGAGAAGCCGAGATGAGATCGATTCTCAATCGAGGTCGATTGGAGGAGGGGCTATGAAGATGAGGGGTTACAGCAAGCAGGGTAGATGTATCTTTGACTGCGCAGTTTTCAAGGACACCCCTGCCATAGCACCCGCCTATAGGAAGGAAGATGCTTAGCACCTTGTACAAACAAACTCAACACTTCGTGGCTAGGTACCCAGGTACCTGGAGCAGTACCTCGGTACCTAGGTAGGTTGAAGAATCTGGCCTCATCCATTCGAAGAAGTCTTGCTCATTTACGAGTCGTGGAAATCCCAAAATGTGTGATTAAAGCCATCGTTCGAGTCAATGCGTTGGATTTCAGCCGTGACATGAAGCTTCGCTTAACCTAGGCTAGCCCAACTACTAAATAATGGCTGTGTGTAGTGGGGGGCTGCTCACACCAACCGCAATCTTGGTATGTCACTGGAAGAGTTCTAGAGCTTCTCAAGAACTACACGATCCAAAAGCCACAGGGAAGCTTTTCCACGAACACCACTCGTGGAGAGAAGCTAAGGTTTTCTTTACTTGGAACATTTCTCGCATTTTTGCTGTTTTCATGGGAGTCATGAGACTAGCGCTATGACAGCACTCACTTATATCCAGTCCAGTATGTGAGCCTTGCTTGAGAAAGAAGGGGGATTTTCGAATGATCGGGCTTGTTGTACCATGATGTGTTCGAGGCACGTCCTATTTGAATAGTTAGTGATCAATAAAACTGCAAAATTACCTTTCAGAAACCATAAAACGACTCCCGCCGAATCTACACAACTATCTTCAGCTCCAAATGAGGTATGATGAAGCACCTACCGAATACAGCCGAGATAAGCAGCTTCCACCTGCACTGTAACCAGATCTACCTGGGCTAGTATGTAGGTACAGTAAGTAGGAAGGTAGGCCAACAGCGGCACTTGGCGGGTCAGATGCCGATCAGATCCAGCCTGACAGTATGCAATGCAGGACAAGGCAGGACATCACCAAACCTGGTAGGCAGTTAACCAATCGCAACACCAGCCTTCGCATCCATCTCGTCTTCACGAGAGGCAGAAACCACTCACTTCGACAACGACCTCCCCGACAAGCATCAAGGATGACCGATTGGTAAGGTATCCTGAAGCGTCAAATCCTGCTAGGGTTCCGTTGCTTCTTGGAAGACTGAGCCTGAGACTAATTAAGGGCCCTGGACTTGAACCTGGATTATCCGCAGGTCCGTGAACCCCACTGCCCCCGTTACTCTTCACTCCATCTCAGGCCGGTCTGTCAGGACGCCAACTAATGGTCCGCCCTCCATTAGGCTGGGGTTGTCAATGAGCGTGCACGAGTCGAGACTATGACGTGAGATTTATATGGCTCGCATGGGACGAGCAACTCGTATAGCTGAGGACGAAAACCTCCTTGCCAAGACGCTCCTCGACCTGACACTTGAGGTAACAAGCAATACCTACATAGTTCCATGCAAACCCTCGAAAGCTTTCTCTAGCACCAAGCGTGCCTATGAACCCGATGATTTTCGGCTCGGGATCCATCAAGCAAAAAGATTCTCTCACAGGAAGAGGCAAGTGGAGCACAAAGCAATTCATACCTCCAAAGAATCCGAGTGGAACTGTGGACGTGACCACTACTACCCCTCTACAATTTTACGCCAGCTCCAGCTGGCTGGTCGGTGAGATAGCTTGACGCACTGGCGATCGTTCCAGCTTTCAAAGGGAGGGGGGCGTTGAGCCGGCCCTGGCGCGGCATCTGATGGATGGGTGCGGCTGCTTCGAGCTTGAACTTACAAAATGCAGAGTGACGAGGGTCCGTCATTCCAGAGCCCTGGTGCCCGCCAAGCCCTGGGGTTGGTCCGTGGTCCGTGGTGTTGGATTGATGGTGGGTGCGCGCGCGACTGGGGGCTTAGATCGCCTTCTTAGGGGAATTTCCCATGGGATCTTCAGATTCACCACCTTTCCATGGCGCACAGACTCTGCGAATCTTGTCATGTTGTTTGTCCACTCGGCCCAGCTCAACAGGCCATCCAAGTATGCACCAGTGTGTCTCTACCTGGGAGACAAGCCAAGCCAAGCGGCTCGAGCAAATCTCCTGGTCATGATCATAATTCGAGTTAGCAAGTCAGCACCGTAGGCTCCTTGTCATCGTGACCCTTTTGAAGACGAGCAGTCACAACTTTGCTTTTCTCTGTTAACGCCAGTCCATCGCACCCCATTTCCTGGCCAATTAAATGCTCAACCGCCGGCCCGGTCTATATCTCCTTGCCGCTAAAAAAAAAGAGCACTTCTCTCACATTGTCATTTCACCAATTCGGTTTTCAGCCGGTCGAAAAATCACTTTTACGAAAGGTTGTGAACGAGAACAGATACTGTAATACAGACTTGGCAGAAAAGCAACGCCGAATTTGACTCATTTGTTCTACAGTGTCTTCTTTCGTTACTGACCGAATGCAGGACGACATATTTGACCCTTGTAACGAGCAGCAACTTGGAGGTTCAGGAACAGACCAAAAGAAAAGATCCAAACAAAGAAGACCCCGCCTCCATCGATATGGCCCACAGTCCTGCTCAAGGGCGGCGCCACGCACCTCCCTGGCAAGCAATGACAGCTTGAAGACTCGCAGGTAGTCGATATGACAGGTCTGATGCTACCACCGCTTGGCCCCGGCATGCCCACCGAGACTACGGTCGGTTGTGCACGCTACTGATCATCGAGTGAACGGGAGTATCATCCTTGTGTCAGGGTATTGCGTACCTGTCTTGACTTTGAGCAATACCCATACGTTGTTCTTCGACCCCTTGATTTTACCCTTCCTGAGCCTCCTCAGTCCATTTACACACTATTACTAGTCCTCGAAAACCATAAATCCCTTGCTACCCCCACAACTTCTACAGCTCGTACCTTTCCAAGCTTTATAATACATTGATCGTGATTAATTTCTACTATATATTGCCTGCCCACAGAGTCATTCTTCTCTTGCACCAAGCTGTCAACCCAAGAGACGACCTACATCATGGCCCTCCATCAAGATATTCTACCCATCCCCTCGCCCACCATGCTGTACCATGGAGACCAATACCAAGACACATCCTCCTTAATACAGCCGAAACTAGAATGTCAGGATGTAACCGAAACACTCAACTCTGCTGGGCCTCAAGTCTTGTCCTGCGCCTTCAGAGCTCAGAAAGTTCCTGGCACTCGATGTCCTACGTGTGCCTTAGCTGGCAAAGAAGTTTGGGTAATTCCTGGCCGCTGCTGCGGATACTGCGGTACTCCTTGTGTCGACTAGATCTATCCCAGGGTCGAAGTGAGTTTACGAGAACCTCAAATGAACATGTAACTAATTAACCCAGTTTTGGCTGCTTCTACCCTGGTTCAAAGCTTGCCTAAAAGCACAATGCCAAGATGTTATTGAGCACTTCTCGCCGCTGCGAACCACAGGACTGTGGATCTCAAATGTCAGCTGAACATGACATGAGATAACCTCAAGTGCCCTTTTCCGCTAGCATGGGATGGGAAAGAAAGTTTATTCCGACTAGAGGGATCTGTGACAAGTCAAGAGTGACACTTGTTGCAGCACTTCAGTCAGCTCACGTCGTGAATTGGAAAGCTCCACGACCTCTGATTGGCACAGCGGCACTCGGACCTGCTATTACGTCGTCGTCGAGCATGTCTTAGAATGCCAGGGCCCAGGGGTATGATTTGGGCATTGACAGCGGTTTTCTGCCACTCCCCTCTGACTCAACGGGCACCTTCAAACCGTGCTCGTGCGCGTTGGTTGATCATGATTCACGGCAATCTCCGGGTCATGCTTAAAGCTGATATATGATAGAAGGGAAAAAAAAAAACTCATGGGTCGAAACCAAAGCATTGCCACAGGCTGGTGCAGCCCAACCAGGATGTCGGGAGTGACTCGGATCAGCCACCTTGTCACTTGCTGAAGCTCAGAGGGCAGCCACATGAGGTGCATCAGATAATCGAGAATCATTAACCGATGGCGTTACTGGGGTCCAGAATTAGTTGCATAGCCCAGCAAATTTCTGGGTATGCGAAGGATTTGACACGGCACTGGAGTAAGAGCTAGACGTAATAAATCGTCAATTTTTGTAATCAGTATATCTTAATAATATTCTAGCTTTCTGTTTGAAGTCAAAGATAAAACCAAAGATGGGATATGTGACTCCTCACTTTGGCATCCCTGTCTATGGCTGGCTAACAGTGACCCAAGCGCAACTATAAGACAACGGAAAATACATATCGCTATTGTGTGATCGTCTTTGTCACTAACCAATCTCAGCCAATAATCTAGTCTTGGCATTGAAGTGAGAATTGCACTGAGACATACCAGGATTCTGGACTTTCTTCCTTACGCTGAAAGGAGTGAAATCTTCATCAAGTGGCTTGGGTGACGGAACGAGGGATGCTGAGACATAGCCTTTGACAAGTACAGTACGTACTGACTTACCCGGGCCGTTGGCACGGGCTTACCTACTCCTAGATTAACGAAGGGAGTCACTTCAGCTGTCAAAGTTTGAGGGCGACGCAAGGGGTAGCTAAGAAATTCCCTGATAAACCATCTCATGTTCATTGAACTAACATGGAGGAATGTATTCATCCCAGGTGTAAAGCTCAGTGCTGTGTTATTCTGAGTTTTAGCTGTACGACAATTCTTGCTCTCCGTAACAGTGTAATCAACACGTGGTTTAAGACACTGCGGACTCGGCGCCGGTTCCGACCTCACTAGGTGCCATATTGGTTCCGCCCGTTATGGCCGGCCGTTGAATTGGCCCGGCTCCGGAAAGTGGGGCACGACATTCTCAGCTCCTGATGGTTGAATTGCCATCACTCGCTGGACAGCCGCGAACCCCACCACGATCCATTAACGCTTGCCGCCCATCTCCCGCCCCCCGCCCCCTCTCTTCCGAACTACAACGGCATTGGATTGTCTCGCGATCTCCTCAACAGTCAGTCAGCGATCCCTGCTACCTTGGCTCAAGCGACTGGTTACTCCTCTCAGTCCACGTCCGGTCAGCCGATTATCCCGCGGCCAGAACGGCACAGTCCGGCTTGGCCTAGTTTTGTCTGAGGCGACGGCTTCGAATCCGATGGCGGCCACGGAGCAGAATGGCATCGACATTCTTTGCGATGCCGCCGGCTCAGACATGCTCCTTTCGTCCCTGTTCTCCCTCGCAGCGCCTGCGTCCGTAGCCGATTCGAATCAACGGGCCCAGCCACCCTTGCAGCAGGAACAGCATGAGCTGCAGCATCCACTGCCTCCCGCATCTCCCTCGAAGCATCAAATCTTTCAACAGCAGCTAGATCCCGCACTGCAACAACACCAAGGGGAAACGCCCCAGAGAATTGCATCTAAGTTGCCTGCTAAGAGAAAACTTTCTGATGCGTCCGCCTCATCGCCGTCTCACGTCTGCCATATCTGCCGTCGCGTCTATGAGCGAGCCGACCACCTGACCAGACACCTCAGGTCGCACGAAAATGCCCGGCCGTACCAATGCACCCGATGTCCCAAGCGTTTCAATCGCGCCGACCTCTTGACACGGCATGAGACCACCCACGATCGAGATGGGGCCGCAAAAGACCGCCCGTTCATCAGAAGAAGCGACCGCGCCGCCGAGGCATGTCTCAATTGCGCTGCTTCCAAGGCAAAATGCGAAGATCAGAAACCGTGCAGCCGCTGCCGTAGTAAGAGTTTGACATGCCAGATACCAGTGAGACGCGGGAACCAATACCGCACGTCTGAGTCGCAGACTGGTATGTCACCTTCGGACAGTTCAATGGTTGCGTCAACTATAGGCAACGACAGCCAGGTCTTTACGGTCGGTGAAGCTACATATGCTTTGCCCCAATCGGCCATTGCTCACCAGGGTCACGCCGTTGATGCTACCGTCGATTACAGCGTCACCTCCTTTCTCGGCGCGCCCAGACTTGAGGAATCACCTGTGGAATCTTTGTTTTTCGCCGCGACGCAAAGCGTCTTTCCGGAGATTGATTTTTCTTGGGATGTAGATTTTGGCTTGTACAAGATTCCAGGCTTGGGTGTGACTGGACGAGCTCCTCAGTCTGGCAATGTAGGGAAACGCACATCACGCCAAGGCCGAAAAGATATTGTCTCGGTGGATGTACCCCTCCAGCATTCAGTATGGCTGTATGAGCCCGAGGCCAATGGTCAGGCAGGGAGCTCAGTGTCTCGCTCCAATATCGTTTCATCCTACTTACGCGACAGCATATTCGCCATGGTTCTGGCTAACAATCCGACACCACATAGAGTACCAACATTTCCATCAGCTGAGTTATTGGGCTACATGATCGAGACGTACTTCAAAAGCGAAGACCCCAAGAGTGAGGCTTTTATTCACAGATCGTCATTCGATCCCTTGGCAATTAGCCAAGAGCTTTTTTCTGCCGTGGTCTCAAGTGGGGCTTTATGTATATCTACTCCGGTTATATGGCAATTCGGCCTGGCTCTTAATGAAGTCACGGCAAGTGTCATTGGGAAACGAGTAAGTATGGGCCATGGTCTAACGATGGCGAGCCAAAGATATTGGCAAAAGGTAAACCACATGCTGACTGCCAAACAGCTTGAATCTTCATGCTCGGCCGTGCGAGATATCACACTTCTTCAAGCGACTGTTCTCCACCTTGAAACTGGTCAATGGAGTGGCTTCAATCGTCAGGCGGAGGTGGCAGAAAGTTTTGCGCCTCGGCTTTTGGCCGTAAGTCTATTGTGATTATGAGTCTGGCTAGCAGGCTAATTCCGAATAGCTGCTTCGAAAAGCAGGGAAGTTGAGCTTCACGTCAGACCTGACTACGCATACACCCAACGCAGGCGACTCTCCTGAGACACTTGAGTCGAAATGGCAAACATTCGCGACAATTGAATCTTACAAAAGGTTACTTATCTTACCATGCCGAAGTCGCTAGCATACTGACCAGCTTACTTACAGGTTGGCCATACGTGCATTTCTCCACGATATGCAAACATCGATCGTGTCATGGAAAGGACCCACGTTAGCATACAGCCAGCTCGACTTTGCACTTCCGGCAGCTCGTGATCTCTGGAAAGCTAGTAATTCACAGGTATGGTGGGACTTGAACTTGGCCAAGGGGGCTTTCCCCCCCACCGGTTTCCCTCGCCTTTCCGATGTGAGAGACTGTCAATTTGTCATGACTGAACAGAACACGTGGGTGGACACAGAGTCTTGCTGCAAAGCTGCTCTGCATGGGCTGTGGGGACAAATCTGGACGTACCGTAACGCCATCGCTCAATGTCATCACGCAGCTCCAGATCGGCCGGGATCTGATGTTCCTGAATGGGCCCGCTCCCTTTACCAGGAGCTCTACGAAGGCCTTCGTAAGCTGTCAACCCAGCTCAAATCTGCACAGACCCCAAAACCTGAGCTATCGCTTCTTTCAGACTTTTTCATGATGATCATACATGTCTCGTTGGACGACGTACAGCGGCTGGCGGGCAGCAAGGGCGACGAGGAATCTCGCAGAGCAATGCAGTTATTAGAGAGCACTTGGCTACCTGGTCCAGAGTCCCGGTATGCTGCCTGGCATGCTGGACAGGTCCTCCGATATGCACAAGAGTGTACACCAACAGCACTGCGAGGATTCAACGCTATGGTTGTTTACCTTGCTAGTCTGACGCTGTGGGCGTATGGGCTGCTTTCGCAGAGAACAGCGAACGGCGATCAAGGGATGGGACAAGAAGTTTTATCACTTAATGAACCAGAGACGAGGGAGACGACAATGTTCCTTGAGCTCGGTCAGGGTAACCCGTCACTTTCGTCTCCAGAAGGGTTGCGTCTTCAGTTAGAGCCTGTGTCGAACTATGTGGCAGTTTTGTCGCTGGTGAAGCTCATCTTTAGACAAAACTACCCTGTAGCAAACGAGGCAATGCCTCCGCTTGTTGAAAGCTTGTGTCGACAACTCGGTGATCTCCAAGGTGGATTGGAGGGGTACGTCGTAACGAAAACGTTATAGACGGCGTCTTTTGTCAAAAAGGATATTATGTGCGCATTGCGGCATTTACAACAAAAGTGGTTTTTATTGTTTTCATATATGGCAAGTTAGCGAAGGAGTTGGCAGGAAAGCAAAAAGGGAACATAAAACGGCAAAGGTCTAGGATTAGATGAAGAGATCTATGGTGACGGTGATTCATCGAGATGGAAGGTCAGAAACGCAGTATGGGGCTGATTGAGTGCGTAATCAACAACTTGGTTACCATGGTTGAATCTGGCTCTGTTATTACGAAAGGACAAAGGAAAG